TGACTCACACTAACGTCTTACATATCCTGCCTTCCCTCTCTTGTACTGTCATGATAGTTGACTTCCTAAGTCTGTTGCTGGCAGCATCATGAAGAAACTGTATATGCCTAGTAGTATATTGTGTACCCTGATCCATTAGCCTAGTTAACTCCTTCCTTTTTCTAGTATCTAACCTACCCTACAGGAGAGGATCTAAGCCACCCTCTCCCTTTAATAACGGGCAGATCCAATCATCTTTCATTGTGCCTGTCAGTCAATTCTTGTCTGCCCTTACTGATCAAACTTTTTTAAGTGGGAAAATCTAGTTACAGCCAGTGTCACTGACAGGTGTGAACAGCCGGTTCAGTGGAACCATCATGTTTGGAGTTTTCTACTTGACCAAGTTAATTCCCCTCATTTGGCCTAGTCAAAGGGCACAGTCTAACCGTTTGTGTAACTTTTATGACACTCTGTGGTCTGCTTCCCCCAGGTAGGAAGATTAGCTAAATAAGGTAATGTTAGTAACATTAAGCAAAGCATGGTCGCTTTGTCTGAGCTAAGGACTGGAAACAATTTTAAATCCCACGTGGTTTAAGTATTATTTGGGCTAAGGGCATAGTAAATTTAATTCTTTGTCTCTCTATGGACAGAAGAAATTAGTAAAAATAAAAACTTCTGAAAACACCGGGGTCATTTCGTCACAGTAAGCATGAAGTGAAAAAGTTTGCGATAAAATAAATATAGACTGTGTGTTTTTTTTTTAATTTTTTTTTTTTAATAGGTTCCATAAATGAGAAACACTGTTTGTTGTATATATTTAATTAATCTAATAAAGTGATATTTCTTTAATTTGAGAACTTCATATTGCACTTTATTTCTCAATTTGCGATAAGCAGTAAAGTTTTTGTTTTTGTGTACCGCATCCCGCTCTCTCATAATTTCAAGAAATGCACTATTTATCTATGTTGATTTAGTTTGACTATTTACTCTAACTTCCTTAACTGGTACATATTTATCAAAAACACTTTAGATTTTTTTAGTCCAGTAGGCTATATCGTCGTCAGGTTCAAAAGGTCATTAAATATGATCGAGCTGTACATTTCAAAGTCACGTAAAAATAAATCCAGATTAAAGGATTTTAAAACTTCTAAATTTAATAGTCAAATGCTTTTTTTTTTTTTAGGTGCTCTGTATCCCCTTTTTGACCAGGTAATGCACACTGGATAATGGTCGCTGACTGCACTAGCAGGGACAGTACATTCGATAATATTTGTTGGACAAGACACATAGACGTGATCGAGTATGGCTGAGGAGGTTTCTGTCACTCTCGTGGGACGGTTGATTAGTTGTTTAAAGTTATGAGATAGGATGATATCTCCCCATGTCTGGTCTGTTTTCTTTGCATCAATGTTGAATTCTCCTAGAAGAATAATTTTTTTTCCTAATCTTAAAACTCTATCCAACATAGAGGTGAAGACGCCATACCAGTGGTTACCTGCACAAGGATTTCAATATAGGTAACCAATATTGACTTCCACCCAGACACACTCTACTTTTAAGGATTCGCGATCATTTCTATGGGAAAAATTGAGACAATTTGAGATGTACACCGTTATACCTGTTTCTAATTTTATCACTGCGTCTTTGCGAATAACATTGAACGCCTTAATTTTAATTTAATTAATAATAATTTTATTGCTAAGCCGACTTTCGGTAATTCCAAAAATATGAAACTGCTTGCTAATCCTATCTGACAACTCCGGTAGTTTGCCGAGCAAATAATAAACGTTTATGTGACCTATTCGAAGGCCTCCTTTGTTTAACCACTGATTACGACTGGTTGTCATAATATTTTGTATAAGGAGATGCTATTTTTTGGTACTGACTTTTTTTTCCAAGATGTGCTCATTGTGTAGTACTGGCATGTGATTGGGTAGGGTACCGTCTCTGCTGGAGTGACATCATGAAAGCCTGGTGCAGAGCTGCAGGATTAAACTGCATGAGATGCTCGACATCTCGATTCCAGCGGTAAGCAGGATGTACGTTAGTGTACAGTGAGGAGTGGTTAACGTGAGTACCACATAAGGTACTACACTGGAGACAGACATCTGGGGCATAGCGCTATTATTTAAGGGTGCTTCTGTAGATCTGCCCAGTGGAGACTGCTTAACTGGCAAGGAAGGAAATAATTCATCATAAGTCTGAGAAATAAGACATAGGTTGTGCTGCACAGGAATATGCACTGGGGTTGAAAAGGAGTATAAAAGCTGCAGTTGAGGAAGTTTTAGCATTGCGAGCATCCGAGTGTGGGCCACAAATGTTCTTTCAGAAAATTTAATTTTTTTCGCCAAAATACTGGTTCCTAATTTTGAGCAGTGTATTTAATCTTTATACATGTTTTTCTTGGGTGCACCGGATTGTGGGAAGTAAAATAATGAGTATTATTTATAAAACGAACATTGTGTTCTGAACAAAATTTGTGTAGTGTCAAATCACCGGAGTCGGTCTTGCGACGTTGAACTCCATAGCATGGGGTTATTATAGTACTCATAAACACACAAGATCTAGGAAACTTAACACGTATAATCTTAAGTAGAAGATCTAGGAAACCTAACATGTATAATCTTTAACAATTGTTGAAAACTTGATCGTTCATAATGTTATTATTTCCAAAATGAAATGTCGTTCTCAGCACATTAAAACTGATGTTAGATCGGTGCAGTGTCGCTGTCAGTTTATCAATGTCTTCTCCCGGTAGTGGATGGACTGCCACTGTCTCACTGGCTGATGATGCCACGCGGTCACAATAAATTCCCAGCATCAGGGAATCACCAACAATCGATATGAGGTTGTCGGGTCTACCTGGATCGCTGCTGCTGCTGCCACTGGTGGCTGCCATATTGATTGTGGTCAGTATCCATGCATGATATATGCGACGACTGTTGGTTTGTGATGATGGAATTAGGAAAAGACAAGTACTGCATTTTATTTAGAGCCTGAAATCTGTTGCTCGTATACACCCCAGTTGTGTAGATAGCGGGTGTTTGCTCGACAGGCTGTGAGGTGGTGTCCTTAGACTCGTCTTGGACTTCGTTGTTAACTTCGTTGTTAGCTTCGTCATTAACTTCGTTGTTAACTTTTTTGATAACATTATTATCGACTTTGGACAAGGTTTCGATGAATACTCTCAGATGGGCATTTTCTTCTATGAGAATCTTTATTTCATTTTTTAATATCAAGTTTTCTTCCGTAAATTGTGAAACAAAACCTGAGCACTTTTCAGTAATAATGTAGGTAGAAAGGTTGTTGTACCCTACCAGGACATCACACAAGCGATAAACACCTGGTGACGCAAAGTGCCACCATGTGTATGAGTATCACCTGTGAAGAGGTCTTAGAAACCCCTTTCAGCCGTTAGGCCATGTCTATGGCCTAGGCCATATTTATGCCCCAGCTATATTCAGGGCCCCCGTCAGAAGCCAGTGTGAGGCTTCAAAAAAAAAAAAATTTCATCCCACATGGGGACAACTTTTTATAATTTCAGTAATAAGAAGAGATAGTCTGCCCTCTAATGATCGGATTGGTTCAGAGCATTGATGTATAACATTTTTATTTACATTGGTATCCACTGCACTTTTTACCTAGGCGTGATGATGGTGAATGATCACTCGTGGTTGATTTAACACAATCACCATGTTTAGGTAAAGATATGTTTGTAGTGCAATGGCCAAGTATTAAAACAGTATCTATTGAAGCACTGGGTGTGTTCAGTTCTTTCCCAGCTTTGATCTGTCTGTTACGCCGAAGAGAAGTTGAATGTGGCGTGCGCTCTGGGCTCGGTGTTGTGTTTCTAATTTTGTAAACCGGCTTTTCTATGTGACTGCGCTTGGCCAGTGTAGTCAGACGTAAGCTAGAGGCCATTGTTTCAAGTGAACATAGACAGACAGACCGACAGAGACAGACAGACAGGTATGCAGGCAGACAGACAGACAGGCAGGCAGGCAGGCAGACAAACAGACAGATAAATAGATAGATAGATAGATAGATAGATAGATAGATAGATAGATAGATAGATAGATAGATAGATAGATAGATAGATAGATAGATAGATAGATAGATAGATAGATAGATAGATAGATAGATAGATAGATAGATAGATAGATAGATAGATAGATAGATAGATAGATAGATAGATAGATAGATAGATAGATAGATAGATAGATAGATAGATAGATAGATAGATAGATAGATAGATAGATAGATAGATAGATAGATAGATAGATAGATAGATAGATAGATAGGCAGGCAGGCAGGCAGGCAGGCAGGCAGGCAGGCAGGCAGGCAGGCAGGCAGGCAGGCAGGCAGACTGACAGACAGACAGACAGACAGACAGACAGACAGAC